TTGTTAGAAATAACAACTGCGAAAAGCTGAAATTTTGACAACTGGTAGTCGTTATCATCCATAATAACATACTAAAATTTGAATCATTTGCAAAGGATAGAAAAAAAATTATAACAATTATTTATTTATTTTCAAAATAGGATCCCTTACTTTTGGACGTTCCAAATTTAAAATAAATAAATAATTGTTATAATTTTTTCTATCCTTTGCAAATGATTCAAATTTTAGTATGTTTATTATGGGCTACCTGTTGTCAAAATTTCAGCTTGACACAGTTGTTATTTCTAACAAATACTAGGTTTTTAAAATTTTGTCCCTTAGTTTTGGACGCTACTGTATATATATATGAAACTGATACATATATATATGAAACTGATATATATATATATATATATATATATATATATATATATATATATATATATATATATATATATATTAAACCTAGAGAGCTAAACAAACCCACCAAGGTTTCACGTAAGCGGATTTTTCCCTTGTATTGGTTTGATTATTTGCAAATCAAAACACTGAAGGTTTTTCCGAACGAGTATGATTTCTTATCCTTATAAGATTACTAATAATATATATATATATATATATATATATATATATATATATATATATATATATATATATATATATATATATAATTATTTATTCGAAATTTATAACATAAATATGTTATAAAAATTGCTACAAAAAATAGCCATTTTGTTTCAACACATATCAAGTGATGATGTTGAATGTCAACACCATCACTTGATAAAACACCAGAAGTGTTGAAACAAAATCTGTATTTTTGTAGTGATTTTGTAACATATTTATGTTATGATTTTCGAATAAAGATTTATATTTGCTCTACCGTGTATTGAGCACTCTTTTAAGAATAGTATTTGTTGTTTAATGGAATTTATTCCATATACACCAATCCTATACTTGGAGATATATATATATATATGTGTGTGTGTGTGTGTGTATAGCTAAGTATCTTGGTAATAATCGGTAGACTGATGTGCGTCTATTGGCATATCTGAATATTACTCTGCTTCCCAGTTAAACTATTGAAACTTAAAATGATCACGTGCACTTCGAACCTGACATCATTGAACTTCCCATTATATAATCAATTAACTCAATAGAAATATACATTTGTGAAGGAGCCTTCAAAAAGTTTCCTAATTAAATCTAAGTAGACCATAATTATGGCAGTAAACCTAACCCTGATTTTAAATTGATTTCCCCTCGTTGACGAGCGGCTTGTAGCATAGCGCCTAATTGGTTATACTTTCTCGAATTGAAGATTTCACTGCTTTAATTAATTAACTCTGAGTGTTTCGACTTGGTCCGTTTAGAATTTATTTGTCGGGTTTTAACAAGTGGTGGTAATATTTGTTTTTCATTGGTTAAGTTTTTTTTTCTTTCTTTCTGCTTTTAATTTCTCGTTCATTTCCATTTTATTTGGTTCTTGTGTAGACCAGTAAAAATGATTGGAAAATAGCAATTAATTGGTTGGCATCAGAGAGAGAAAGTTGTTTCTTGGACAAGTATAGAGATAGGGAATTTTTTTTTTATTATCTTCGTCTGAGATCTGAACCAATCTCTGGATTAACCCTAGCGAAAAACTCCTATTTGCTGAACATACCTCATTGGGTATTCAAGCAGATCTTTTCGAATACCGGCATTACGATATTCTTTCAGCATCGATTGGTTGGTTTGTTGTTGTTTTACGGTTTATCAACCTTTTGCAGGCTATTTAAAGCCGGAAAATATTTTAGGTTGTAGGATTTTATGGAGATAATAATGATTTACTGATACAAGTCCTACTAATTAACCCATAGCTGGGGGGTAGAAGATGTGAATTCATACCTTTCCCAAGTAAGTATAAAATCCTGGCTGGCTTTTCGAGTTCCGAAACCGTTATCCATTACAAACGTCTAAACTTGCAGTACCTGGGATTACTAAGCAGTCACCCATCTAGGTACCGCCCAAGCTCGACGTTGCTTAACTTCAAGTAACTGTGCGAGAATCGTTGTTTCAATTTGATATGGCTGTAAATCGTTTCCGTGTAATTTTTTCTAATAAAAAAAGCTAAAGAAACCTGTAGTTATTGAATACATTAAATCTCTCTCACTATCTCCCCTAAGGCATACAGGATGGGTGCTTTTTTTTGTTTCCGGATACAGTAAAACCTCGAATTAACGGTCCCTGGACCAACCGACTCCGGATTTAACTTTAAAACTTTTCAAATTTTATTTAAATGTATATAGTACATTAAAAATGAAATACACATACATATATATTGTATTTACATTTATTTACAGTAATTTTGTACTGTACTGTGTGTTTTTAGGCCACGATAAAAAGTGCTTCAAATTAACGGACAGACACCTTTAATGAACGACCCTCCCCTTTATTAGTCCGTTAAATTGAGGTTCCACTGTAAGTCCATTGCTGAATATGACATCACTTCAATTTCAACCATTCGCACAACAAATGCGGTTATAAAACCCAAGCAAATAACCAATCACACTCTCTCCCTCCAAAATGACTGACCCGCTTGACTATGGCAAATATTGTCGATTATTTCCAATGTATCTGAGTGTCTTACTCGACCACGGCCATGCATTCTCTTTTAATTATACATGACATGTTATTCTTTCTAGGCAATAGAATCTTTTAAGGAAAGAAAGAAAAAAAATCTTTGAAAAGGACCAATCCCTGTCTTTGAACAAGATTCCTAACAAATAGAATTAATCGAAGTAGATGAAATCACAGATTTCATGTCATAAAGCATTCTAGATGAAATGTTCCCAGCATGGGGCGCATGCCCCACCGGTGCGGTATAGGAATATTTTAGTGGAGCAACGTAGTATGTGCACCCTTCGGCTTACTATACCAACAAAATAAGGAGGCAATTCGAGACTGAGTTATTAACAGTGAATAGTTTTCTAGTGAGTCTGAGTGAGAGTGTTAAATGTTAATGCATATTAATACATATGATACATATGCAGTATGCATACAGAAAAATATTTTGTGTGTATGTACGTACATATGTAATTGGTATACATGTAAGAATTAAATATTACGGAGGGGACCAGAATTTTGGAAATACCAAAGTGGGACATGGCCCAAAATCGGTTTGGAAGCACTGTTATGGATGAATATCTTAACCAAAGACAACGCTTCCCCTTTTACTAGTGAGCAAAGCGGGTCACTGATTCCGTGTGTTTACACAGACCTGTTTGACCAGTACCTTGGACAGTAGCAGTTGTTACCACTCTATATCAGAAAGGATATTAGTGATTCCAAAGTCCCCACATTTTCAGAATATTCGAACTGTAACTTCCACATACCATTTACATACGAAAGTACATATATAAAAAGATGGCTGCGCCTCGATTTCGTGTAGTGCTGTCGTTTGCTTTATTCTCAAATATCAGCAAAGAGAGTGTGATGTTTCTTTTTCCTTTTTTTTAAATTCCTGCATGGGTTTTACATTCTTTTTGTGCAGATATGGCAACGTTTCACGCCTTTTTTCAGTTGGTATTGTATTGATAGGTGAACTCGCAATGTACTGTGTGTTGTCTTTGACAGTGTTTGAGCCTGCTCTTCTTAGGCTGAGGCCTCCATATTCATTACACTTTATATCAAATTATGTACCAACATTATCAGGAAAACTAACATCAAATCCCTTACGAACATCTCTCATAAGGTTTGCATTTTAATCACAATTTTGCTTGATTTATTCTCAAATATCTGCAACGCGGGTGTATTCTTTTTTTTCTTTATCCTGCAGGAGTTTTACATTCTTTTGTCCAGAGGTGGTAACGTTGCACGCCTTTTTGCACTAGGCATTGATAGTTGAACTCACTGTGTATTTTGTGGTGTCTTTGATTATGCTTAAGCCTGCGCTTCTTAGACAGAAACGTCCACGTTCATTGCACGTTATACCAAAATTCTGTAGCAAAATTATCAAGGAAACTAACATCAAAACCCTTACGAACATCTCTCATAAGTTTTGCATTTTAATCACGATTTTCTTCAAAGTCTCTCTCACCATTATAGACTGCTTTCCTTCAGGATGCACACATATCCATACATTAAAATGATACACATATATCCATACACTAATTTTTTTTTCTTAGCGGAACTGAGATGTGCCAGAAGGCCTAAAGTATGGGCACCCAGTGAGGATTAAACTCATTTATAATAGCTCTAGATGTGTTTTCTCACCATTATAACATGTCGAAGTGCCCCAAACATTGCAGTGAAAGTTGCTATTTCATTGATGGATTAAATGACTCATAAAACCGGGAAGTGATTGCAAGCCATTCCATTAGAGGCGAGTCTTCCGACAACAAATCTGGTTATCTGGATTTTGAGATTTATGGTTCCAAGTGTATCGATTGGATGAACTACACACCGGAGAACTGGTGGATTCTTACCTTTCATCTGGCTATTTACGCGTAAATGAATGCAAGGAACTCAACAGAAAATTTGAAACTGGGCTCATAGTGGAGTAATGGATAGCGGCTCGGATTGAGGAATCAGAGATCAGAGTTCGAATTCCAGTCGAATCCATTACATTCACTTACGTGCTAATACCCTTGGGAAAGGTATGAATCCAACTCTTCTGGCTTAAAGAGGCACGGTAGAGTAATGGATTGCGGCTCGGACTGAGGAATCGGAGAGCCGAGTTCGAATTCTAGTTGAATCCATTACATTCACTTATGTGCTAATACCACTGGGGGATGTATAAATCCTCTTCTTCTCCTCCAGATTTCCAGAATATGTAAACTGTAAATTCCGTATATGGGTAAATACGGGTTCTATAACTTTGGGTGGCAGTTGATCTAGGAGAAGAACAACTCAGAATTCAAAACCTGATCCTCCAGCTGGTAGTAGACTAACAACCTCCTCACTTTAAAAAAATGGCTTGTTATAGAAACCGCAACGATATCTTTAATTTAAAGGCATAATATATAATAATCCATTAAAATTTACATCACCCGGTATACCTAAATGGTCACCCATCTAGATGCTAACCAGGCTCAGCGTTGCTTCACTTCGTTGATCGTACGGGAACTGGGGTTTCAACGTGATAGGGCCGTAAGCGGTAATATTATACTGGATAAACGCCTTAAGTTAAATTATATCATACAGTAAAGAGCGTTGAAGTTAAAAAAATAACTGGCGGCCTGGACATTGAATATTTATTTATTTAATATTCTTGTTTCTATGCAATGCACAAGGAATTTGGACAGCAGACACCAAATGTGTTAAATAATAGTTTAGAAGATGGGAGCCATAATAGGGAAGTCGATTTTGATTGGCTGAGCTAGCCCGGGAGAGAAAGGAGTAAGTTTTAAGCGAGTTGTTTCTTACGCGTCAAGAGATGCAGACGTGTTGTTTTTCGTGTCCGAAACGGCTCACCAATGAGGGTGTCTCCCCGCCACACTGGATAGTTAGATAATGTACATGTCGACATGATTAAGAAAAATAGTTAACATTCTCTGTGTTTGGAGTCCTTTATTGCTAAACCAAAACGATTAACGATCGTCGGCCAAGAGAAAGAAACGAAGGCGACCTGAGATCATTTACTGCTGTCTGCATATAATACATATAGCAACATGCAAACACACACACATACACGCAAAAAAAAAGCAAAAATAAACACATACTGTATCGAATGAAAAAAAAATGTTTAAAATACGTTGAAAATTGTCAGTGTGCGGAAGCGTTGATTTTATGCAGAGCCCAATGATAAAATTTGTTTCTCAAGCGTTTTGTCCCACAAATAATATAACTAAACCCTTGGTCTGAGGGTATTAGTTCAAAGACATTGAAAGAGTTTTGGGTGTTTTTTTTTTCAGCCAATCTTTCAAAAAAAAAAAAATACAATTTTCATATCCCCTATTAAATTGCAGACAGGGGTCTCAAATGCGGTATTTTATAATTCTCCAAGATCACCATCCATTTTTTTTCATGGAAATATTTTTCTTTTAACAGCTATGCAATCCTTGCCCAGTGGGAGGGGGAATTTCATTTTCCGAACTCCAACCAAATATAAAAGGAAATAAATCACTTAAGAAACGAGGAATTGTCGTCTTGCCATTTCAGGATTCTTTATCAGGAATATATGTACAGAATTTTGTAACTTTTTTTTTATTTGGTTTGTATTTTAAGGCCTACTTTTATTTTCGCCACACTGGCTTGCAATTATTTACCGTAATGAAGTTGACTGATTTTATTTTAAAGAATCTACTCTAATTAAAAGAGAAATCGACTAAGACAAACATCTATAGAAAGTGCTTTAATTGCTAAATCATCTACAATAAATTTAGGCTCATAACCTATTTTCTACTCATGTTCCCTCAAAAGGTTTATGCGGGTAAGTGAATTTAATGAACCCAACTGGAATTCGAGCTCGGGTTTGCTGTTTCTTATTCCAAGATATTATCCATTACACCACCCGCACATCCAAGCTTGGCAATATCACGTGCTGTAATTAGGTGTATTCCCAAGCGATCACCCATATGACCATATATGTATTGTGTAGTCCAGAAAAGTATCCCGTCTAGGTTTAGTTTGTTTGGTTTTACGGCATATCAACCTCAAGAGGTTATTTAATGCAGACAAGATGTTTTTTACTGGTAAAGTTTTTCTGGTAATATTTTTTTTTCCAAAAATGTATTGCTGGTAATATATATATTTTTTCAAAAATTTACTGTTGGTAATAATCTATTGCTAGTAATAATTTTTCATGAAAAATTTATTGCTTGTAATAATTTTTACAAAAATGTATTCCTGGCATTAAAACCTATTTTTACACTTTAATAGTGTTTTGACCCCAGTTTAGGGGTTCTAATCGTCCTGGGCCATAGTGGACATGAGAACACCAGCAATGGAGAGGTAGTTCCACACTCCTCTAAACCTCCTGATCAGAGGCCTTGCTGTCGGATGTAGTTTATCGTCTTACCCTGGACGCGGATGTAGTTTATCGTCTTACCCAGGACGCGGATGTAGTTTATCGTCTTACCTAACGACGCGGGTGTAGTTTATCATCATACCCGGGACGCGGATGTAGTTTATCGTCTTACCCAGGACGCGGATGTAGTTTATCGTCTTACCTAACGACGCGGGTGTAGTTTATCATCATACCCGGGACGGGTCTATTAGTAGATGGGTGAAGTTAACAGTAGATTTGCTAAGCAAAAAGGGAAACCTTTGCTATTTTTCTGCCAATCCACGGCCCATTTTTAACTTCCCAACCCATGCTGAATCAACCCACAAAGATCTTCTACCCCACTTACAAATTTCAGTGTGATGCTGAATATATCGGCAGAACAAATTAAAGGTTGGAGACTAGGATTGAACCTGATGTACCAGTTAAGATAGGGCAAGGGTTATATGAAAAATATGAATCGGCTTGTAAATACTTTAACATTTATAAAATAAACATATTTGTACGACGTTTTTCACCAGGGTATTTACCACCAT